TAAAAGTGCGATAGAAGAAACTGTTAGCATATAACTTACAAGTTCCATCTAGCCATTTAAACTGTAAATTGATGAGACCTTGCTGCCAATCTAGTACTGCGCTTAAATTCATAAAGTCTAGATAATATAGAGGAAAGTTCATTAGAACAATTACCATGAATGTGTTTATAACATAGGGAAGTTACATAACGGTGGTGGGAAAGAGACTGAAACCGAGATGCCAGGTCAAAACCAATAGTAAGAATCTCTAAATATATAAGCAGGAGCAGAAGACCAGACGTGGCAGTAATATTCAAAGCAATGAAAAATGGTAGACTTATAAATATGTAGGAAAAATTCTTGCGAGAAAAATTGTCTCGCATGACATAGTGAACCGTCTTTCTTAGCTGCAGTCTTGGCAATTGATTCAAGATAGTCTTTCTACTTCATGTCAGCGGAAAACGTTAGTTCGAGATGGTGCAATGAGTCACTCTCCAGAAAGTGAGCATCAGTCATGCTGATGGGAGGTAAAAACGGTTCTCTCAGATGATTAAAAGGGAGCAGTTTTGTTTTTGAGGCGTTAAGTTAGCAAGCCACTCATTGCATCAGTTAACAACAGATTGTAATTCATTTTAAGATCAACTGCCAATTTGAACTTATCGAACCGATCAGACTTATTATTACGACAGGAGTAAATAGTTGTGTCATCAGCATAAATAATGAGTTGAGAACTGATGACATCAGGAAAGGTCATTTATGAAAATTAGAAACAATGTAGATCCAAGGATAGAGCCCTGGAAAATACCTTCATTTATTCCAAAAGGTCTAGAAGAGTGGCCATTAAAGATAACTTTCATTTTGTGATTTGATAAGAGAGACTGAGTCAATTCAAAATTCTTCCAAAAATACTATAACCTTTCAACTTATGAAGAAGACCAGTATGCCAAACACTGTCAAATGTCTTCGAGGTAGCCAACGTAACAGCTCGAGCTTCACCATCTTTATCTAAAGCTTAATAGACTCTTTCAGGAATAATCGTTGATACATCAGCAGTTGGCCTAAAGAAGCCATTTTGCTTATTTGAAAGAAGACCCTGCAATGCTTAACCAATTCAGAATTAATTAGCGCCTATAGTATTTTGTCAAAAAGAAGTAGATGCCAATAAGCTAATAGTTAAAAGGATCAAATGGTTCGCCTGAGTCTTTAGACTTGAACTACAGAAGAGGATTTCCAACAAGCAGGAAAGCAAGAAGCAGCAAGGCATTTATTGTTTATAAGTTTAGAGAGAACAGCAGACAGTTCAGAATAACGTATCTTAAGGACTATTGCAGGGATACCACCAAGTCCACGTGCTTTGCCTTTTTAGATACTCACTCTACATCTTTGTCGAATAGGATTGTACAGAGAGGAAGAATACAATAGAAGTCTAAAGGAAGTACGAGACCAGTGTTTCTCAGGATCCCAGGTTATATTCCTTCTCCTACAATCTCACGTTCGCACAGTCTCCTATTTTGAATTGTTATCTAGTAGTTCTTTCGCCCTTATACTTATAAAATACATATGACTGATATTTTCCCAAATCCTTCCACGGTTAAAATTTCCTTCCTTAGAGGTGAAATTCCTTCCTTGGGAGTCAAGTGACTTCCGTTTGCAATGAAGTGCAAGATACAGGAGCCGAAATAAAAGTGATACTATTAAACGAAGTTGACTAGAATTAATTAATATAAAATAATTATGATAGCAACAGCTATCCCAATCGAACGGGTTCATCTCCTTAGTTAATGATCCTCAGCGATCGCCACTACATTTTATTTCCAACTGTCCAAAGTCATTCTGTTTGATTATTTGTTAGTTTATATCTCGTTATCATTCACATTTGGACTAATATCCTCACTTTAGTTTTATTATCCCAACATTTCGATCGTTATATCTTCCGGTCTTCTTTAGCTGTTTTTTGACCCAGGTAATCTTCAGCGAATTTCAAACTGAAGATTATTACGGGATACATGTTTTTTTCAGTACTGCGCCGTTATTGCTTACCCTGTTTCCCCTGATTCTAAGTCTGTACTTCCCAACACAGAGATTGCACCCACAATTAATATATCAGCATATTCACAACACAGACTCAGATACAGTGAGCTAAAACACAAACAAAAAAAATAGAGGACATCCCTAGACATGGACAGGAGAATGAGAATAAGATACCCCCCTTAGATTAAATAAAAGGTTTAATTTGAAGTTCTTTGAAGGTTACCTGGATGAAAAGACACCTGAAGAAGGTCGGAAACACAAAAACCGAGAGTTGTAATGACAACAATGAGAATATTAGACATTTTTTAATTTTATGATTATGAATTTGGTTTATGCATCACATGTTCCACAAATTACGAAGAAATGCTTCTTTAGTCCTAAAGACCTACTAGATTATAGACCTAAAGATTATAGACCTAAAAATTTAATAAATGAATAAAATGGTCTTAAGAAATTATTCCTCTTTATTATAGTGTGCGGCAGAAATACCTTCCACATCATGGTAAGAAATTATCAGCAATGTTGTCTTCATCTAGCTAATGTAATAACATTATGTGGGGGTGGTCTGCCGCACCCTGCATATCCGCGATATTTTGTCTTTAATCCAATACGGTTTCAGATGTTCAAATTTTTATAACCCTTCCAACCATGTCAGTGGAAACTGACATTGCCACACATTTCTCAAAGATGACCATGCACTGTAGAGAGAAGTGTGTTCATTTCCCTTTTTTAGTTTTCTATATATTGTATCTTTAGTCCTAAAAGTATAAAAATACAAGCGAAAAATCAAGAATTGCAATCTTTCTTTAAATAGCGACGCTTGAAACAATTAAACAAATCTGTAGTTGAAACGAAAACCATAATTACATACAGAATTTTTTTCCACAGAGATTCACTTTGGAAGGGTTAAAAAGCATTTATTTCTTGTTTACCATCCTTTGAACGCAATAGCAACAAGGAAGAAGTGGCGGAGGGAGAGAAATGGACTCAGGAGAAGTTGTCGGTTGGTTCGTTCTTTTAGTTCGTTGGCTGTCGGATGTGTACTATTGTGTGGAGAGCCGATGTCGAGAGAGTGTCTCATTGGTGTGTTATTTCCTGCAATAAAACACCGGGTTAAAGCGAAGTCAACATGGGCCCTTGGTCTGGAGCCAAGTGAAGAGAAGCTTAAATAGAGTTCAGGCGATAGCCAAACAACTGGAAGTAATTCCCTGTTGCCAAACCGTATTTCGACTATCGCCAACCTTCCAGCTCGACATTAATTCTTCCACTTCTACTACTCGAATTCTTTGGCTTCTGATTTGTTTTGTTTCCTTTTGAGTTTCTTTTTGTCTTTTCCTTTCGGCGTAGTGTTTGTTTTTGCTACTGGGGAATGACGGGTTTAGGAATTCAACATTGGATGGGTGGAGCTTGTCTTGGTCAGGGTAAAACGGGTTTATAGAGATGATTTTTTTTTACCTTACTGAAGCGTGCAGACGAACTGAAACGTCGATTTTAAGAGAAAAGACATTACCCTGCTTTCTTCGTTTCAAGTCGTTATTCTTTCTTTCTTATTTTCAGGTATTGATCAGTCTTTTATTCCTTCTATCGATGCTTTTTTTGTCTTTTCTTTACATAGACTCATATTGTGATGTTTTAAAAACTATTTGAACTATCTACTCGCTCCCTAATATAGAGACATGATATAAAGTAAATGAATGCAATTATTTTACTCAGATTTTAATTTTAAAAAGATACGCATTGTCAATCATTTCACCTCAAGTAAGGCAGGAATGCCACTAGTACACGGGCGGTTACAAGGAGTGAAAGTGAAGACTAGGAAAAGGCAGGATTGAGGAAAAGACGAAAGATGAACGAGGTTCAAGAATACAGAAGATGGCGATTGACGTTGCATTTAAATTTTTGAAGATTGTAATTATCAAGAAATCAGTGAAACGGAAAAGATTTCCACAGGTGGGAAGTGAGAGAAAATAGAGTAGAATTGGCGGTTGCATTTAGCTATTTCAACAGTAAAAGAGTGGGACCTAGTTGCCAATCTAATATCCCGCTTAAATTACCTAATTTACTCTTATAAAACATATATATGTATATAAAAAAAGAAAGATAGATGCCCCGTACTCGAAAAATATCATTAGATCGTACAATTCAATTATAAAGTAAAGGAAGCAATTCACGTCAACCTAGAACATCAGAAAGTGTTAAAACCAGCCCATGAATAGCAGCGCAGTATATTCATCTAGATGGCGTAACCGTCATCGGCACAAAAAGTGAAATCGACGTGCCAAGTTCAAATCCCTCCTTAGTATGTAGCGTTCACTTTCGCATATATGGCCTTGGAAAAGTCATGAATCTATCTTTTCTCCCGTTTGTCATTGGTTAAATAGCACGGTAGACGAGGTTCTCTAGCCTTGGGTGGCAGCCAGTCTAGGAAGACTACAATGAATTCAAAACAAGTGAGAAAGCAACATTATATTTTGCAAGAGATAATGGCAATTTAGAGTTAATAGAGAAAAGCAGACTGCAGAGAACCATGATCGCCTACACCCTGAAGGGATATGAAATTTAAAAAATATATTAAAATATTCATCTCATGTATAAAAATTTATGATAAAAAAAGAAGATCGTCTGCATCTTGTTAATGATATAGATCTAAAACTATTTCAACGAATGAGGCGTTCGGGTTAAAACTTTTTTTTTCTTCTTTTGGTTGGTTGGTTGTTTTTGTTTTAGCGGCATATCGACCTCTAGAGAAATCTAAATATCTCGTACAAAATTTTATTCATTTTTGGGGGTGAGGTGGGGTGGGGAGATAAGGTTTTTAGTGATACGAGTTTTACTAATTAATCCAAAGTTAGAGGGTGAAGAGGTGGATTCATGCCTTTTCCAAAGGTATTTGCGCGTAAATGAATATAATGTACCCAACTGGAATTGGAACTTGGCTCTCCGATCAAAAATTCTGAGCCATTATCCATTATACCACCCGCACATGTAAGCTTACAGCACCTGGTATTCCCAAGCGGTCACCCATCTAGTTACTGACCAGGTTCAACGTTGTTTAACTTCGTATGGGAACTTGTGTTTCAACGTGATGTGGCTGTAAGCCTTTTCTTCTTTTGGTAAATATTGCTGCTGGGTCTGGTTGTGGCAACAAACTGATACAAAGTATTTAAAAAAGGAATGTACCAGAAAGAAAAAGGCTTGAGTAGAGATTTCCATCTCATGATTATTTTCAACCAATTAAAAGGAAAGGATCTAGAACCTGAGATAATTTTGAAAAGAAGTTTACTGGCCTGATCAGAATAGTTAAATACCAGCTATACACTATGACAGAGAGAGAGAGAGAGAGAGAGAGAGAGATATTTAAGTCAGCAGAACAAGTACCCTCCGTGAGTTTAATAAACCGATTTACTCTCTTCAATTACAATTCTATAAGGCAGTACCAATTTCTGAAAGTTTTAGACAAACGCCAATTAGAACTCTCTTTACTTTCTATCAGCATCACTGATTCTAATCTCCAGGAAAGCGACTCATTTCACCTTCTCAAACTAGCGTTTTCCACTGACATGAAGTGAAAATATTATATTGAATCAGTTGCTTGGTCTGTTGCTAGGAAAGTTGGTTCCCTGTGACGTGCCGGACATTTTTTTTTCTCACCAGAATCTATCTTACATATTTATAAGTCTATCATTCGTCCTCGCTTTGAATATTGCTGCTCTGGTGCTTCTGCTATATATTTAGAGATTCTTGATAAACTCAAAAGAACCTGCAATGTTATTGATCCTGACCTAGTAGCTCGGCTTTAATCACTTTCCCATCACCGTAACGGACCTTCCCTGTTCCTTTTCTATAGTTTCATGGTAATTCTTCTGATGAACATTTTCTATGGTATCTAGACTTTATGAATTTAAGCGCAGTACTAGATTGGCTGCAAGATCTCATTATTTTACAGTTGAAACGGTTAGATGTAACCGTAAGTTTTATGCTAACAGTTTCTTCTATCGCACTTCTTGCTCGTGGAACTCTCTTCCGGTTTCTTGGTTCCCAGTCATCTTTGATCTTCAAAAATGTAAATTCAATGTCAATAGTTATCTTTTGTATTCTTAATTCTTGTTCTTTTATTCTCTCCCCTTAACAGTGTTTTTTTTTTCTCATATTCTCTAACACTCAGTAATCACTTTAGTCTTAGTGGCTTTATTGCCTTGCTTGGGGTTAAAAACTCATTTCCTTCATGAAATAGACACTCTCCCCACTATGTAAACCTAACAAAAACTGACAACTTTAAATTCTCTCTTCAAATGTCTTTTATGAATATTCGTGAAATTCACTGATACTTTATTCTTTCCAGCAAGGATTTTTATCACTTTTGTTACTTCTCTAAATACCAACTTTCCTAAGAACATTTTTCTCTAACTAGCTTAATTTCTTTAAAAGTTCTAAAGAATATTTTTGAGCAATCTTTACACCCATCTTGCTTTTCACGTAACAAATTATTATAAATAATTTCTGTTTCAATTTCACACTAAGAGTCCTTTTTATTGTGCTCTTAAGGAATTGGTAATTTTTTTTTATTTGAGAGCATCCTCATACGTGGGTTATTATGATAGAGCAGCCAGAAGAAAGCCACTTCTCAAACAAATCAACATTCAGTAGAGAAAGTCTTAGGTAACTGAGATGGTAGCATACCCTTACAGTTTGGGCACACTATTATCTTTTCAGGTCAGTCTTCATTTACTCAATTTTCGACCAGCAAACAATTATGAGTTTAGATACTGACCAACCAAGTTTTGTTAAATTAAAAGATGCTAACGGTATAAATTTGAATTATAAAGTATTGATTGAACATTTTAGATTATTGAATAAAACATTTTGCTACAAAAGAGAGATGTATATTAACTTTTGCCATGATTTATATATTTAATTTGGTGGTATTGATAGAGACTTTCGCGAATGTTATTATCAATAATATTTCAGCCCCGAAACCATGACTGATCTGTGGGTCACCATGATGATGAAGACCTTCTGAGTGCAATACTGCGGATGTATTTTAGTGGTGTGTATTGATCAGACATCTTGAAAGATTAAGATGACTCTAGAGACTTTAGTATGACCTGGAAAAGACAACTGACAGTTGGTTAATACTAGCAAGTAAAATGAACAAGCTAGTTACCTGTTTCGTTTTTTGAGTGGATTTTCATGCCTTGCGATGCCACATTGAATTGCCACGACTCAAGAGAACGGAAAATGCTCTAGTGGTCTCCCGAACGTAGAGGAGGATAAATACATCACCACAGAACAACACTGGAGCCTTCACAAATGCACATTTTTGTTAATTGGCATATCTCTTCAGGGCGTTGGCGATCATGACTCCCCACAGATTCCTTTTCTTTACTTTCTGCGTTTACCATGACATTTTGAGAAATACAGTGGAGTCGTTTCGCATTGTCTTTACTGAGGTTTTGAATTCAGTATAGCCCTTCGCGTAGACTGGCTTTCACTCAAAGTTAGAAGTGTTCAGTCTACCCTACTGTTTAACACATAGCTGGCATAAGAAGAAATTGATACGTGCCTTTCGCAAGAGCATTAGCGCAAAAGAAGATGAAATAAACTACACCGGAATTTGAACTTGGTGCGTTGATTCCACTTTTCATGCCGATATCCGTTACGCTACCTGCACATCAGTAGTTTTGATTGTTGGTTTGTTTAGCGGCATATCAACTCCTTACTGGTCATTTAACACCGAAAATAATTTCTTTTACTAAAATGTATTGCTAGTATTTTTTACTATAAAATGTATTTTTATACTTTCAGTGTTTTGCCGTCAGTTTGGAGGTTTATTATTTGCCCAGAGCTAGGATCCCCCCCCCTAACAGGTGCTACCACCCAACAATTAAGAGGTGGTTTCATGCTTCTCAACACCTCCCGGTCAGAGGCCTTGATACCGGATGTAGTTTATCGTCATACACAAGACGCCACATTTGTACTACGAGACTGAGAGGTAAAAAGATACACCACACAAAAATGGAGTATCTTTATTCTTTTGTCAATATTAATTAAGACGGTGTTTTGAATTGTAATTAATTTACAAAACACATTTGACCAATCAATGAATGTTTAAGTAAATCCATTCACTGTTTATATAATCTTAGATTTGCCGACAAAAGTTTCATTAGACAGAAGATAACAGAAAAAAGCAACAACACTTCAAAATTGGTCACTCGAATTTCGTACAGCTCGTCTATTTAACTTAGCAATGTTGAGTGAGCATTTTTCTCCAGTAACAATACAAATTTACAACATACTAATTTTAATTTACTTCTCTTTTCAATGTTTTCAGTTTCTTCATTCAAATAGGCGTCCGTATTCCTCCATAAACCATTGTGGGACTAATAAAGATACACCATCTATATAACAAATGTGAAAAAAAAAAAAAATACAACTCCATACACCTTGCCACTACCTACGAAAAAGGGTATTGCGTGTATGTAAGGAACCTGACTGGAATTCGATCTCGACTCTCCGATTTCTCATTCCAAGTCGCTATCCAGTACACCATCTGCACATCCACGATGCAAGTTAGAAATGCATAGCTATTTCAGCCAACAGCTCCTAATATGTCGCTTCATTTTGCATTCATTGTTAGGCGGTATTAGAATACATAGATATTTAATGATAATGTTGCGAAGATGATGTGAACAAACGATGAAATATTAATAAAAAAAATCTCTTTGACGACTGCTTGATCATCAAACATCACATTATATTTTCCGGAGTTACGTCTTTTTTCACTTCTTGAAACAGAATACTATCAATTATAATAAAGTTCTAGTCATTTAGCGACGTAAAGATAAGTAGGCATTATATAGCGAATGAGAAGTTAATTATTAAAAATCTAATATATCTTAAATTTAACAGTGACTGATTTTATTGGTTGGATATTGTCTTTGTAGATCTTCTGGAGAATATACAGTTTTCTTTGTTAGAATATATGTTTTGTTAATGATTTTCCGATTTTAAAAATCGTTGTAGGCGTGTTCCGCAATGTTGGTCACTGATGCAGTCTTTATCCCTTAAATGACAAGTAAGACTATGATACGAACTTGTAGAACTGATTAAGGTGGACTGGAGATACAATCTTCAAGTGGACACAAAAGACTTTACAGTCGACTTTCTTTGCAAACTTATTGAGTTGGAAGTAATAAGGAGATTATGTTTTCTTTCTTCTTTTTTTTTTATTTCTCTTCCCCCGTTGGTCTTTAGTTGGTTGTTATTGTCGGGGGAAAATGTTTATGTCTGGTGATGTGTTTTTTTTTTTTTTTTTTTTTTTTTTTTTTTTGTCAATTATACGATCTTTTTATATTTGGTTATAGCAAATTGGAGTTAATTTTTAAGGGTTAGAGATCTATGTTTGATTATAAACGTGATTGTAGTTTCAGTCAGTTATGTCCCATGCGTGATACATGCTTAGGCGATCATGTATTTTTCGATACATGACTGACGAGGCAGATTTTTTTTCCCGCAGTAGGTTTTCATTTCTTTCTGTGGTAGACCAGTTGTCATCCAAGGCTGTAAAACCCGGTCTGTCTTGCTATTTACCCATAGCTTAGAAGATGAGGACAGACCAGGTTTTACAGCCTTGGTGAATGTAATGGATTCGACTGGAATTCGAACTCGGCTCTCCGATTCCCCAATCCGAGCCACCTTTCTTTAAAGTCGCACTTTGATTTTTATCGCCCATAACATTATTTGTAAAACCGACTGCTGATTAATGTTTGACTTAAGTTCTTTGCAGAGAGGAGTGGTTTGTGAGATGATAAGCTCTTTTGAAGAATGGCTCTATAATGGAAGTTTTGTAGCTGACATTCGCTCATGTACTTGTGACTGGTGGTTGCTGATATGAAATCAAGAGTTTTGCACTTTTTTGAGATCGTATCATATCATACACACTCGTACGTACGTGTATGTGTTATGTATATAAAACCAATAAGGAGAGAGTAGAATGAAACAAGAAAAACGACGAAAAGCATAAATAACCAAGACATTCTACTACACGTACGAACACGTGGACTATATTTAGTCTCCCCCCCACGAGGGCGTCATGT